CTTGTTCTATAAGTAATGTTTAAATAAACTAAATTGTGCATTAAAATGGCTGTATTTATTGCAATATCATTTTATAGTTAACGTAAGTAGTGCCTTCTTTCGAATCTACGCAGTGCCAGTTTACATGTAACAAGTACCGGTAGGTATATTACGTACCTTATAGAACCTGTCCTTTAATATTAATTACTTTTATTAAAACTTCTCTTTTCATTTCAGCACGTACTTTAACTCTAAAGAACTACGAACGATAGTATTGTTCTACCGCCTACCTCTAATTCAAGTCAATTCTCAAAAATTAACTTATTCGATTGATTTTCAAAATTTTTATAGATATTTATATGAATTTTCATAAAACGTTACTTATTTGGGATAACAAAGAGAGATAACTCTATAATTTTGGTAAAACTTGTGTTTTTCACTGTAGAAATCAATGGAAAACAGAAAATATTTTTAAAAACATCTCCCCCCCCCCCCCCCCTGTGAAACAAAAATTCCTTTTTACGGATAATATGGACTGTCATTTTACAAATTTATGCCAAAGCTTTTTGTGTTTCAGGGGGGGGGCATATGTTTATATGTAAAAAAACGAAAAAAAAATACTGATTTTTCGCCAATTTTAAAACTATTAACAACTAAATATTGTATTTTATTAATTCAAATATGTTTTATTTATTTGTGTAAAACATAAGAAAAGATATGAGATAAAATTTTATCATATATTTAAGACTATTTCAAAATATGGTGATTCTTGCAAGTTCGATTTCACTAGAAAATATCGTCTACCCCCCTTTTTTCAAGAGCTGGCATTAATGATAATTTACTATCTAGTGCTGGAATTAAAATGATTAATCAATAACCATAGAACTGTTCTTTGTATTAAACAAAGATTCAATGGCCAAATTGCCATTAATATTGAATTCAATGGGTGCAAAATGAAGGCGGGAATCAAGAGTTAGTGTTCGTAGTTCTTTAGAAATTCATAATGGATTTTAAACCGAAATATTGAAAGCGTAAAATTAATATGAAAGGCGTAATAGCGTAATGTTGTGGTAAAAAGCAGAAGAATTACGCCAAAAGCGGAAGGGTAGGCAGTTCTGACACAGTAAAATATCACAATGATAATGTTTCAGTATTTAGCAGATGTACACTGAGTATTGGAAATAAAATGAAAAGAATTTCTAAAGGAATTTTAAAACACTATTTTGACACTTTCTCTTGCTTCACAATGTACAAGATTTTTTACTTTGCCATAATGCCACATAAAAAAAACTCCAGTTCTAAATCCTCTGGGCCCTAGAAAATTTTCTGTTTCATTCCTATGAGTATAATCCATAGCTTTAACACATATCTGAAATGTTAGCTGCCTATAAAATTTAAAAACAATTTAACTTCCATATATATCTACTCTATCCATAACAAAAAAGAAAACGAAAATATTTAATGACAAATATGGATGCAGGCACATGTATGATAGCAATGACATCAGCAGTTTATCTGAAATCAAATAACATAAAATTTCCTGTTATTTGAACAAATCTTAAAGAACTACTTAATTAACCTGGCCAGTAGATATGTAGTTGATTTTCTAAATATTAGGCAACAGTTTCCAGTATTGGGCAACAGTTTCCAGGTAGGAATTGTGAACCTCCATTTATAGAATCAACAGGGAAATCTAGAAATATATATTCTTCTACAACACATATGCCCTGGAAAATTGAGATGTGTTGACATTCTAAATACCTGTTGATTAATTATAGTTTTTCATGATTCAGAGCATTATACAACCATTGTTAAATTAAATGTGAAATGCAACCTACTTTCAACAAATTGAACAAAATTATTTTATAATCAAATCTAAGTCAAATCTTAGTAAAGACAATCTTTTTAGTATATATTACTAATATTAAGCAGTAATTTTTAACACCAGGCATTACATATTCAAACATACCAGTTCCACAGACATCAACATGGATATAATAAATCTTAAAAAGTGCTCCAATGTCTATCTAGTCTAGTCAACCTATATTTTTAAAGATTAAACAACCATATTATGCCTTATACAATAGCCTACATGAATTGAAATTTCGATTACAGTGTCAAGAATCTACAATATGAAGATCTGAATTTCTATACAGACCTTAAAGATGGCATGGATATACTCATGATTAACACAGAGAATAATAACTTTTAAATAAAATTAAACACTTCCCACTAAAATTCTAAAAATAATCATCCAACAGTCAAAGAATATCTAGTAATAACCTACCATAGATAAATTTAACCCCGATCACTAGTAGAGACTACCACATCAAATATTATCTAATTAAGAATCATGCATAAAGTTTGGTTCATCAATTAAGTCATTGGAGTCTCCGTCAGAATTTTGTCTCTTCATTTTCTCATAACACTTTGACGTCCACCATTGATACTGAATAAAGAGAATAAACAAAGGCAGAATGCAGGCTCCACAGATCCCTGCTAAAACGTATGCCACAATGACCAGGGTTTGGTTGGATTTCTCTGGTTTTGCATAGGCACAGTTTTCAACTGAACCTTGAATAAAAATAGCAACATTTATATATACAAAAAGAATGTTTTACAGGTATGTATTGATTGATCACTGTAGCCTTCCAATATTTCTTCAGTGTACATGATGGCAAATATCTTTATCAGCATCAATTAAGCAAAAACATTAATTCACATGTGAACACAACTAAATATCTATATTTCACAACATTGTGAACTTTTTTATTCAAATCAGACCAAAATTGTAAATTTTCATGCATTGTGGAAGGACAGACATATCACCATTGAACAATTTTAAAAGCTTCAGAACCTGCAGAGTTGATCAGAGATTCTTTCATACTGACCTGAAAATTTGTGAGGTCCAGACACATGTGACTTGTTATACATCTGGGCCACTGCAGGACATGTTGTGTCAGGAAACCCTACTCTGTTGTTCTGTCGATCAAAGACCACATAAAACCCCTCCATTATCACCGCTCCAATCACTGTGCCTGTGATAATAAGAGACATTTTGTGTTTTACCTATTTATCAAAAAAAAATTTAAACAACAGCCCCATGGCTCTTTAGTCACTTAATACAATTTTCTTTGTGAAAGTATTCTAAAGTAGCTTCTTCCCTACCGTGGGTGCCATGGTTTGAAAAAATTCAATATCCCCAAGTGTAATTTATCAATCAAATATTATGGTGACACATCTCCTCATTGATAAATAAAAGGCAGGTACATTATTTTTCTAATTTATAGAATGGGAAAGTTAAATACCATCCCTTTTGCTACAGGAATAGTCAGGTAAGAAAAATACACGCACAACATCCCCTCCCTCTTTGTGTGTTTTTCCTGTGACACTTACTTGATGTTGAGTTTGCAATGCCAAGTTTATAACATATTTAATCTGGGTTGTTGTCATCTTTTTTCCCAAAAGATTTAATGTACTGCTGAAAACAGACATAACATGCCCATAAAAGGATGCATAAAAGAACTAGAAATATGTCCATAGGACATGAATGCCCTGCCAAGGATACAGTAGTAAAGCAACATGAAAATTTTTATGTGTATAAAATTTGATCAGAATATCTTTAATATTGATGTAGCTGAAATGCTGGTTTGGAAAATATAGGTCAGATCCAGCACCCGAAGCAAGTCTGGTCGTGTCCATTCCTAGATGCATCATCCATGCACATTTGGTTCAGGTAGGGTTTATAGTTACTTGGGAATGAAAATATAGGTCAAATCCAGCATCCGAAGCAAGTCTGTGCTACCATGGTAGTGTCCATCCCTAGATGCATCATCTATGCAAGTTTGGTTCAGGTAGGGCTTATAGTTAATTGAAAATGAAAATATAGGTCAGATCCAGCATCCAAAGCAAGTCTGGTGGTGTCCATCCCTAGATGCATCATCCATGCAAGTTTGATTCAGGTAGGGCATATAGTTACTTGGGAATGAAAATATAGGTCAGATCCAGCATCCCAAGCATGTCTGGGAGTGTCCATCCCTAGATGCATCATCCATGCAAGTTTGATTCAGGTAGGGCATATAGTTACTTCGGAATGAAAATATGGGTCAGATCCAGCATCCCAAGCAAGTCTGGTAGTGTACATCCCTAGATGCATCATCCATGCAAGTTTGATTCAGGTAGGGCATATAGTTACTTGGGAATGAAAATATAGGTCAGATCCAGCATCCGAAGCAAGTCTGGTAGTGTCCATCTCTAGATGCATCATCCATGCAAGTTTGGTTCAGGCAGGGCTTATAGTTACTTGGGAATGAAAATATAGGTCAGATCCAGCATCCCAAGCAAGTCTGGGAGTGTCCATCCCTAGATATATCATCCATGCACATTTGATTCAGGTAGGACTTATAGTTAATTGGGAATGAAAATGTAGGTCAGATCCAGCATCCGAAGCAAATCTGGTAGTGTCAATCTCTAAATGCACTTACATGCAAGTTTGGCCCAAGTGGGGCTTATAGTTTTTTAGGAATGGACCTGCTCCAAAAACTTTAACCTGGTCACTCATCTGGAAAATGTAGGTCAGATCCAGCATCCGAAGCAAGTCTGGTAGTGTTCATCCCTAGATGCATCATCTGTGCAAGTTTGTATCAACATGTGAAGTTTGATAACACCATCTTGACTGGTATGTTTAAAACTGAGCTAAACACTAATTTAAGAAAGGTGAAGACAAGGTCAAAGGAGAGGTTAAGGTCAAAAAATGTTAATGCAGTTGCATACCTCTCATACCTTTGAACAGAGCTAAACGCAAAGTGTGACGGAAGAACAGAAGGACGGAAGACAGACATGACAAACACTATATGCCCCGGCAATATTCATGGGAGGGGGGCATAAAAAGAGGGGGGAAAATTTGCATATAGGTGCTTTACTACCTGTATTACATGATTTTTTATCATCTCATAATATAAGTCTAAAAAGTGTTGTCTAAAACTTCTGTACGCTGAATCATGCCCTGTCGAAATTTATACCTGTGGAGCTACAATGATTTTGAAAGACTGTTGTTCATTCTCAGCAAACTCTAAGGCTACAAATGGAAATATGTTGTAAGGAATAGCTCCATCTTTGTAGCACAAATCTATGTCCCCATTCCAAAAACCAAGACTCAGTGGGGGAGCATTGGGAGATTTCTACAATACATAAAAAACAAAACCTCAAAATGATCAAACTTCAGCTTTATCTGACCTCCCACATTGTATTTGATGTAATAAATCTAGTTAGTTTACTCCTATCTGATGAAATAGTTTAATTATATCGAGAAATACAAATACGGTGTTTGTTACATTGATTTGTATTTTTTTTATAGATTTTTCCATAATCTAAGCAAAGTAAACTAAAGTGAATTTAAATTTTATTCCCACAGTAAGGCTAATAGGTAATGCTTTTATGACATCATTTGCAAATCACATTATATATTCATAGAAGAACCATCTGACATAATATTATTGTAGATTCCTTATTTAACGCGAGTTTTTAACATCGCAAAATGACTCTTTGACATAAAATCATGAGAATTTTAAATCAAGAGTGCGTGGTTGAAATAAAAGTGAGTAATTTTATTTTTTTACTGATTAGAGCTTCTCACGAAATTATGCGAAAATTAATTTCTCACATATACTTAGGAGTCTAAAAATCCTAAAAAAAAACCGTACACATTTCAGTGATTAAGATAATTTTCCCTTATTCCTCGGATACCTATATCTAACTACCCATTCGTGGCATGTTAATTAATTCATCCATTTTATGTGTCATGACACGATTTAATTTGAATTAGCTTTGCCTAGCGTTCAAACAGAGGTAATGCAAAGTATTAATTTAATGCACACTAATTCGCATTAAATTCTCCGTGTGAACGCAGTTCAAATTTGATTTGCAGAAGCTTACACTTAACTAAAATTAAACTCTTTGTGTGAAAAGGGCAGATTTGCACAGTTCTAAATTGAAACATGCTAAAAATGTACAGTCCAGTGTAAGTTTAGTAAAATTTTTATCGATTGAAGAAGAGGATAGAATTTGTGCAGCAATTTTATTAATTTTAAGAATATTTTCCTTAATATTATATTTTATTTATTTTAAATAAAATAGGATATGCCCTTGCGCCAACGTTGTTTTGTTGATTTGTTTTATTACCTTGAATGGGAAAGAACTATTACGTCATAATATGACGTCATAATGTACACTTGTAATAATATACTGTGGGTACTAAGTATGTATAAGAAAATCAATTTGAACTTTCTCTGTACATAAAATATACAACTTATGCATTTTTATTAGCTCATTTGCATAGAAAACCAATATCTAGCCTTAATTCACTTGCATATATATATTTTGAAAATTTCACACACAGCAAAGCTAAACCCTTGGGTATAGTTTGTGTGATTTATCCTTTAGAAAATTTTCATTCACATTTTTGCTGCAAAGTTTGATTTACTGTGATCAATCTATAGACTGCTAATGCCATCCCGATTTCAGCAGCACTTTTGCAGTGTAACTTGTTCAAGACTTTCAGAATTATTCTTTTCATGTTTTGTCCATAAATCTGTAGTATATTAAGTGATCAAACTCTTAATATACATTAGTATAATAAAATGCAAGCCCTTGAGAAATAGTTTTTGCTGCAGGTTTGATAAAAGAGCTACTGGTATCCTACTAACAACCAGTGAGTATGTATCTAATATCTCCTTTCCTTTTCCACCCCTTTTCTCCCAATCCACAAATAAATGATACATGTATGTACTATGTAGTAGTCTGGTCCGATTTATAGAAAAAAATACTGCTAACGGCAAATAATTATTATTTGGTCCAGCATAGTTTTTTAACCTATCTCGAGTATGCTGAATCCGAAAAAATATGCTGGCCTTCATGAAAATGGCGTTAAAGAGGTCAAAATGGCGGACATCCAATTTTTCTAATTTTCTCTTAATATTGTTCAAAAAGGAGAAATAATGTGTGAATATCTCACTGAGTGTAATATGTGTAAAAATGATAATAGAATGCTAACATTATTAGTTTAAATCAGAAAATTTAGTCGTTTCTACACATAATTTGAATTTTCTCTGATTTTTTAGTATATTGTTCTATATTCCGCTTTGTTCAGGATTTTACATTTGAAAATACCCATACACTGCAGATTTGTATTTTTTCTTCTGCATCCCACTATTTTACAACTGAATGATGGCGCAGCTGTAAGTTAAAGTCAAAATGGCGATTCAAAATGACGGATATTCATCTCTTTTTCTAAAATTAATACTTAATGTCGTTTACATATGAGAAAGGATTTGTGAATATCTTAAATTACTGAGCGTAGTACAACTATGTAAAATACCAACAGAACACTAATTTGATCACTTTAAATTGGAAAATTTAGTCTTTCAAATTTGAAATGTGTTAAATAGCTCAAAATGGCGATTCAAAATGACGTCTGATACACTCGAATTTCATTGAAACTCTTAATTCTGGTTCGTTTTGCAAAAAATAAATTTACAGTTTGTTTTTTTTATATATATAGTATATCGAGAAGTCCATTAAATATGAACAATAAATACTTGAAAATGACTTAAGATTTTCCAAATTCCCCCCTTCGTATTTGACCGTACGTGTTCCAAAGCCTTTGAGGCCCCATCCACCTAAAATCACTCCCGATCCTGTAATTATCAACTTGAACTTCTTTCTAAACACTTTGTTCTTGCTTTTAGCACTTATAAAAACTTATTATTATCCTCTAACATCTTCTATTCCAGGTTTATTTGGTATATGTTTCAGTCTGTCTTCGGAATTTTGGTATTTTTAACACTCAAGTAAAATGGTGCCCCGTGTCAAGGATGACAACCCCCTTGGCATGTAAAAGATCGGTTCTCTGGAGTTCGAAAGAGTAAGCTTACTGGGGGCCGCCAGAGAAACAAAAAAAATCCTTCAAAAACCTATTATTCAAACTGATAGTCTGCCGAAACATGGCTGAAAATTGCCGACTCGGCATTAAACAATATACAATCAATCAACCAACACTCAAGGAACAACACATTTATGTTCAAATGTTAAAAGTCTATTTTGTTATCCAAAATCATATGCAAAATGAACTAGAGGTACTGTGAGCAATTAGCGAACCAAATGATACCCTGGTCTCCCATATGAATATAATGACAGTGTCCATGTTTTGCTATGGGAAACCAAAATTGTGTGTCGGATCAAAAAATAAAACAGGAGGTCACAATGGCAATATGTAATAAAGATTCTATGAAAGTTTCATCAAATTTTATTCAGTGGTATGAGAGGAGTTGCGGATAAAAGATAGGTACCCCAAAGAGACGGACGAACGGACATACCGATTACTCTATACCCTCCTGCTTTTCAAGCGGGGATATAAAAAAAATATCTTATATTCAAGATATGTAGCTCTTTAATTTGTGACCTCTGAGTGATATACACTTGTTGTCTTTTAGGGTAGAAAGGTCATTCTATTAGCAAGAAAATTCTCAAACTTGATCATCTGAAATCACATTGTGGACATATTTTGGTGAGAAAAGTTATGCAATTTAAGAGCGCCTGTAGATTCCTCGTGATTCCTATCACTTACAAACGTTCGTACCAATAGGCCTAAGCCATTCCTGATTTGGATCTAGTCAAACTTCTCTTGACAACAAAATTTTCTTGAACACTTTAAGAACTTTACAAGGCAAGTTGATCCATACTTCTTTGTTAGGATAGTGTAAGGTTGTATCAAGAATCGAGGTGGGGGGGGGGATTGAACACAAACATTTTCTTCTTTCAGATTTTGTAAATTTCAAATTTTTTAAACTTATATTCACAGTTCAATACAAAAATATCCTTTCACAGCATGAAATATTTGAGAATCAGTTGAATTTTTGAATGAGAATAACAAAATGCAAATATAGGAACACAGAATCAGAGCTCGACAATGCAGAAAATTTAAGGTTTACGTATATTATACTGACAATTCTTAATATATATGTTTATATTTGGATATTATGATATTATATTCAGATTTATATTATGTAACAATTACTAGCCCTATAATTGGTCGTGGTCAATCATTTTAAAAATCATACTCAGTTATGTTGCACTAGACCTTCCACATGAACATAAACATTTATTTTTTTCTACACTGGACTAAAAATAGATCAAGAATTCCCAACAACTGAATGTTCACTTGCCTTAATGCTCGGGGGACACTGCTCTTGGGGTAGCTTAATTTTCATATTGTCTTCAAAACAGCAATTATTGTATGATATTATTAACTTTTTATATGAAGAAGCATGGTGAGACAGGTAAAAGGTAAAATGTCTTCGGAATTGTTGTCAAATACTTATAGAAGTAATTAAACAAATTTAAAATTCGTGTTATAAAAATTCTATGTCATTAACAAAAATATCCTCCAACTTTCATTGCACATTTGAACATTATTTCATGAATAAAAAAACAATTCAAACTGTAATTTATTTTCTGCAAAACGAACCAGAATTGAGCAGTTTGGGAACTCGGTATTTTACGAAATTCGAGTGTATAAGACGTCATTTGAATTGCCATTTTGAGCTAATTAACACATTTCAAATTTATCGACTAAATTTTCCAATTTAAAGTGATCAAATCAGTGTTCTATTGTCATTTTACATAGTTGTACTACGCTCAGTAAAATATTCAAAAATCCTTTCACCTATGTAAACTACATTAAGAATTCAATAATTTGAAGTAAAAGATGAATAGCCGCCATTTTGAATCGCCATTTTGACTTTTAACTAACAGCTGCACTATCATTCAATTGTAGAATATTGAGATGTAGAAGGAAAAATACAAATCTGCAGTGTATGGATATTTGCAAATGTAAAATTCTGAACAAAGAAGAATATAGAAACAATAGACCAAAAAAGTCAGAGAAAATTCGAATTAAGCATAAAAACGACTAAATTTTCTGAGTTTAACTAATAATGTTAGCATCCTATTATAATTTTTATAGTTTTATTACACTTAGTTAGATATTCACTCAATACTTCTCCATTTTGAACAACATTAAGAGAAAATTGGGAAAAAAAATTGGATGTCCGCCATTTTGAATCGCCATTTTGATCTCTTTAACGGCATTTTCATGAAGGCCAGCATATTTTTTCGGATTCAG